CTCTCTCTCTCTCTCTCTCTCTCTCTCTCTCTCTCTCTCTCTCTCTCTCTCTCTCTCTCTCTCTCTCCCCCTCCGTCGTTGTCTTCTCTGCAGGTGCGCGCAGCGGCTTCTTCAACCTGCGGATCCGCTATGGCGGACTTCCTCTCCAATGGCGCCTTCAGCTAAGGAACGCGACTCTCCCTGCAGAGCACGATGAACGCGCGTGGAATAGCGGGTACCAGCTCTGATACCAATTGGAATCAGACTCGCTATCTTTCACACTTCACATGCATGTAAGCAGGTTGCGCAGCAAACTGGCGACAAGCGCCCACTCAATACTCAGAGATATGGTTGCCAAGAATGCAGTTCAGATACAAGCTCACTTCAGGCAGCTATGGCGCAACAGCGCCTGTACAACTCTCAGTTCGTCGCCAACCCAACTGCTGTTCACATACACACCGGATCACCCTGGATATCCCACACGCATCAGACTGTACACTCACGCACACACATACACGCTACACCTCCTATCAGCTATGGCGGCTATGGCCGCTGCTATCCCTATTGCTATGGCTAAGCTCCTTCTCGCCCAGTTCGTCTTCGGGCTCACTGCAGACCACCTCGCACAGTCGCTGTGGCAGTGCTTCCGCATGGCTTACGCAGGAATGAATGAATGGCTGGGCGCTGCCTCTTGATTTATACTTCTGTAGCTCGTTGGTCTGGCCCTTTCGCATGCCCGTGGTGCACACAGTCCCGTACGGTACTTGCTTCACTGGACTAGGACTGACTGGGACTGGGAACGCTGACTCAGCACGGGTAGACTCCACCACTTGCCCACTTGCCTCAGCCTAAACACGAGCAGCTTCGAGAGGCCAGTACCAGGACCTTCCGGAAGTTTCAAACTCTGGCCTTTCGGATACTGTAGCAGCTACGACCTTGACCCTTCAGGACTGTAGCAGCTACGACCTTGACCTTTCAGAGGTCCTACAGCTACGACTTCTAGAACTCCCTAAGACCGCTATGCTACAGGTCTACAGATCGAACCCCTATCATCTACAGACCCTACGACAGTCTACCGACTGTGTGAACAGACACAGGTCGTGGGTTCAATTCCTGGGGTCGACACAGGTAGTGTACACAGGTAAGGTAAGTCTAGGGATCGAGCCCTGGGATCTGCATTCGCTACTGCGAACAGGTGAATACGGTTTCAAATTCTTCTTCTTGGTTATTCGACTTCGATGTGCATATCTCTGCTTGGTGTGGTGTGAACCCCTCTCGAAATCTGCTTTGTTATTTCTGCGTGTTTATGGGAACATGGTTATGCTCTGCTGGATTGCATTCTCAATCAGTCGCATATCAATCCTCTTGTATACTGCTATTAAATGCTTACGAATGAGCATCATTAAGAGAACAGGCAAAATATAAGCTGAACAACTGAGGGAAAATGTATACCTCTCCCTTTACTTGGCCTCTTTTCGTAGTGTGCAAGTGGACCGTTATGGCACACGGGAATGTGTGCAGCTCGCTCTGAACCACAATCAACGTGGCGAGCCTTGTATGTGAGAGGCACAGTTAAAGGGGAGCTGCAAGAACAAATAGAAGGGTACCCCAAAGTAATCTAAAGTAAAGATAGTCAAGAAAGGGATGTAATGGATCTATTGTGCTTCACGAAGTTCATGTAGCTTGCTATGGAGATAAATCTGTTTCATTGTTGGATTGGCTCATCTCAATTGTGCTTCATTGTCTGCAATAGAGGTTAAGCTGCTTCGATTTGGAAGTTTCGATCTACTCATCTGGGTGGAACAGGGGCTGATGTGGCATACGTACAATGACAGTCAGTACTGTACTCATGTACGGCACCCCGACATGTCATGTCCAATTGGTAGACAGGGGCTGGAACGGCAATGCCTCTATAATTGCGGTCGACGTGCCTCTGTGTTCCTAGCATGTACGAGCCACGTAGCCTGTGACATCTGTCTGCGCCGTGCCATTCGATGCAGCAACTGTGACTGTGAAAATTGGATGCGGTGTTTCCATAGCCCACACCCGAACCGGTCCTGTCGGTCTGTAGGGGTGGCCACTCGCCATAAGAATTTTTTTTTTTTTTTTTTTTTTTTTTTTTTTTTGCGTGTGTGTCACTCTATCCTGCCCTCCGCATATTTCTTTCCTTCCCGTTGCCCCTACCTCCCCTGCCCCATACTCCTAGAGAACTCTGCCTTCTATCCCTTACCCTCCACCCTCCTCTCCACTCCCTTTGTACTACTAACAAATACATAGGAATGAGCATCATTAAGAGTATAGACGATATGAAGTATAGACGATATGAAGATCAGAAATGAAATGAACGGAAGTATGAAGATGAAGGACGGACACAAAGGCTCTATAAGCTGAAGATCTGAAATGAAATGGACAGGAGTATGAAGCTCTGAAGAGATGCACAGGAGCATACCTTCCCTTTTACTCTGCCTCCTGAAATAACGTGCAAGTGGGCCGTGAAGGCACACGGGGATGTGGGCAGCTGCCGCTCAACCACAATCAACGTGGGCAGCCTTGCGCGTAAGAGGCACAGTAAAAGGGGAGTTGCAAGAACAATGAAAGGGGTACCCCAAGGACAACCAAAAAACTGTCTAATTATAAAATTGCTTTAATATGTTGGACATCTCAAATGCTCTCATTGTCTGCAATAGGATAAAGACTGCTTTGATTCTGAATCTATTCACCTGGGTGGAATTGGGGCTGTTGTGGGGAAAATCTAAAACACACACACACACACACGCTTCCCTCTTATAGATTTAAAAAACTATATGATATCTGCGCAAGTGTGCCGCTTTGGCAACAGACGGGTGTGTGGGCACTTCCTGCTCAACCACACAAATGTGGGGAACCTTGCATCTTCTATTATATTGCCCGTCTGTACTTTCTTTTGTTCTATTGATGGTTTATGATGGTTTTGGGGGGTTCAGAAAACACGCACATACACGCACACACATCAGGGGGTTCAAACTAGACAGTCTGCTAGGATAGCAGGATTGGTGTGAGTAAATCTGACCAGTTTTCTCAAGGGTACTGCTATGTTTGGGCAAGGTGGTGTACACATTGACTGTCAAAGATGTATTAGGCTTTACTTACAGAGAATACATCATTGCATAACAGCGTCACACCTCTTGCGACCATCACCCTTCTGCCTATCTCTGCTCGAATGATGAGTATCCCATTCCTTGTGTCTATTCTTATATACCTGTCCCTCTCATGCTGAGAACATCCTCTCTCTTCAGTCACATCCCCTGTGTAGCCGCGTCCATCTTGAGAATCCTCGCTCATGTTTCCCGTGCGCTCCCTTATCCATCAGCCAAATGCATCGTCGGCAGGCTGTCGAAGTTCAACCTCCTAATGGGTCAGTGAAAGTCTGATGAAACAGTCTGTCATAGTCACCCCTTTTTTGCTGTGGAGTTCGGTTTACAAGGTATAACACACACATGCATACAGAGGGACACACCCACGTGCAGGCACATGGCAAGGTTGTGGTGGGGAGCCAAACAAGAGCTTGCCATGAGAAGGCGGCAGGGGGGGGGGCACGTGGCCGGGCGGAGGGGGAAGGAAGAGGTCGCAGGCATAAGTGTTTGTAAGGCGAGGCAAGCAGGTGAGGGGGAGGCATGTTCGATTCACACACACAGGCGAGCAAAGAGGAGGGGGAAGGATGAGGGATGGACAAGTCGCATGGATGAGAAGAGGGTCGTGGGGCAGGTGCAGTGTGATCGAGCTAGTTACTCTTGGATGACCTTCTCTGCATGTTTCTCCTTATGAGTGTGTTTGCAAATGTCAGGAGATGTATGCATTTGCATTTAGTACTATTTACAAATCACAAATTTACAACCCATATGCATGAATGTAACCAGTGATCATGGATGTATGCGTCCTTTTAACTGAATGATGAATCCATTCCATGTGTGGTGACCTTTCGTCATTATACAGGACTACATCTTCTTACATGTAGGGGAAGCTGGCGAAGGCGATTACTTTGGAGAGGTAGGTTATATTTACTTGTATGCTTCCTGAAATAAACTTTAATAAACCCTTCACTTGTGGTGAAAAGTGCAAGAAAGGCATAATGTGAGCCTAGGAAAAGAATCAACATATTGAAAAAAAGAAAGAAAAAGAAGGGAAGTTCGAACTCAAGAAGATGATCGGACCAGGTAACCTGCTAGAAGGGGGTGCTCTTATCACCCCTTCTAGTGCCGAGACTTGGTTTTCAAGAGAGGGGGGGGGGGGGGGGGGGGGGGGGGGGGGGGGGGGTGGAAAGAAAAAACGAATAAGATGTGTGCCCCGAAAGGGTTAGAAAATTGCAAAAATAAAATGAAAAAACATCAATAGGAATGTCATCTACCTGTGCAAAATCTTAAGCAATGAGCCCCAGCGACTCATGGAATAGCCTCTCTCCAGTCCCCTACCTGATCAGATAAGGAAGGAGCTGTGGCAAAACTTCCAAGTGCAGGCACACTGAAGACGTCAGGGCAGATGGTGACAAAAGGCAGGTGCAGAAGCGGACTTAGAAAGAAATGAAAAAAATGTTTAAAAACAAATATAGATAGTATCATCGTAGTAGTATGAGTTTACTATGAAAAATGTACAAAAGAAAAAACAAACAAACTTACAACATTGTTGGAAGTCCAAAATTCTAACCGAAAGACAGATACTGGTGTGAGGAATGTGTCCTCAGGGGCCCTTAGACAACATGCATATGTTCTGACTGTGGCCCCCAGCAAGCCTCGTGCCCGCCCTAAGTGAAGGTGGGCCTGAATATCCCATGAGAGGCCTTATCTCAGCATTTTCCAATGCGGGTCTTAGACAGTTGCTGACGACAGTTGGTTGAAGTGCAACCTGGGCCTCACCCTGGGCTCTTCCAGAAGAAGCAGCTGTGCCACACAGTTGAGCCCAGGACGCAGGTGGTTGCGCCCTGGGCACACGCAGTGTGAGGCCGACACATCATGAAGTGGCCACAGCCCAACAAGAAAGCAGCATTGTCATCGTATCTACCCCATCGGCCGACACAAATGCAGCAAACATTCGGAGCCTGGAAAATTCTGGGTGTGCCCAACTGAAAAGCGCCCAGGCCCTCAAATGTCGAGATGGGCCTGGGCGCAGACACTACGGCCCGACCGGAACTACTGGAAACTTCCAGGCCCAGACAGTCCAGCAGCTGCAACCTCTCCCATATAGGGAGGAGGCTGGCTAGCGCTGGCCATTCTGGCCTAGGCAGGCAATGCGGACACGCTGCTGCGCTCACACGCAAGTGTCTGCATTGCGCATCTGCTGGCTGGGGCACGCGCGGGCGCTGAGAGGTGAGGGGCACTGCTGGGCAGCGGGGCGCTAGCGGCCATAGTTAGGCTGCAGGGCGGGAAGGCAGAGGAGGGCGACAGGGATCTTCGGGAGGAGGCGCAGAAAGTGGGTGGTCAGGGGATCATGAGGGAAACGAGAGTATGTACCTGGTGTATGTGGGAGGTCAGCATTGGTGTTGACGACATGTACATTGGTCTTCAAAGTTGAAGTGAGCCTGTTGCATGAACGTAGGTAGGCTAGGTGGGACAAGTAGAGTAGGCTGGGCGCTGGGCGCCAGAGAAGAGGAGCGACGTTGAATACTGCGTTGGTGTGGCCTGAGGGCTTGAACATTGGCTCACGAGTTCATTGTATTGCTCTTATGTGGATGGAATCTTGGTGCATTTAAGCTCCAACGGCCACTGTGCATGCCTTTACTGCTATGATTTTCAGACGCCAACGTAGTTGTTGTGCACTGCAGCGGGCACTGTGCATGCCTTTACTGTTGTGTTCTTCAAACGCCAGCGTAGTTGTTGTGCACTGCAGCGGCCACTGTGCATGCCTTTACTGTTGTGTTCTTCAGACACCAGCGTAGTTGCTGTGCACTGCGGCAGCCACTGTGCATTGCTTTTTGTCACTGGGTTCTTCGGACGTCAGCGTAGTGGTTGTGCACTACTGTGGCCACCGAACTGATTTTCATTTGTTGCTAATTACGTCTGCTGAACTCTTGCAAATTGCACAACTGTTGTGCGTTACAGATGTGTGCGCCGCTGTTTCGAAAAAGTTCCACTGCATTTCGCCTGTAGTTCGAGTAAAGCACAGGGGGTGTACTTTATTCAAACACAACGATTTAGACTGTGTAGCGGCTGTTCTATCAGAGGCTAGACATCGTGGCTCCAAAGGGTTGGTCAGGCGCTACAACTGGAGTGCGGTTGCAACTTGGAGGTTAAACCGGAGGTTGCTACTCTGGACTTTTGGACGCCATTGCGGGGCTCTCAGGATCTGAAGGCAACAAGACCCTCTCGTGTGAGTTGAGTTGGCCCCTTCTCGTATCTCGAGCGTCTGACTCTTCTTCTTCTATCCTTCTTAATCTAAGCCTAGTCTATGTTTGGAGAGGAAGACGGCAGGCGGGAGTGCAACCCGTAGGGCCGCATCAAGGCCTTTGTGGGAGATTGACCCACCGATTGCAGGAGCTCTGCCGGAGCCGAGGCGGGACTCCGGAGGCAGGGAACTCAGAGGTAGGCCGACACTATACCATTAGAATCCCAATAAACCCCTATCTATACAAACCCAACGTTTGGCCTGTTTGACTTTGACTTGTGTATATGTTTGTTTTCTTTTTCAGGATTTTAACTGAATCAGAAAGGGAATCTACTATGCATGTTTAAGTCATCTGTCTGTGGTAAAAACCATGATATTTGTATGCGATGATTTGAACTGGGGCTGGAAATGAGGCCCTCCAAACTGATATGGTCGCCTTGCTCGTTTTGCCTAAGACATTGAACTGGGGCTGGAAATGAGGTCCTACAGACTGATCCTGACGCCTTGCTCGTTTTGCCTAAGACATTGAAGTGGGGCTGGAGATGAGGTCCTCCAGACTGATCCGGTCGCCTTGCTCGTTTGCCTAAGACATTGAACTGGGGTTGAAAGTGAAGTCGTTTCGACTGATCCGGTCACCTTGTTAAGTCAGTCGATTTTGCTTGTTGACAAAGGTCTGAGTATTATCTTTGTGAGAATAGTCCAGGCTGGTGTGTTAGTGATGGCATGGGGTTGGTTGAGAATAACTTGGAAAGCTAATCAAGTAAGTAAGATACAAGCCTCATGTTTTTGTGATCAGGACAAGCGAAAGATGAAAACTTCAGATGAATGAACCCTTGTTTGGATGGATGAATGTATTGCAGACATGATATGCTTGTTGACAATGCCTTGTCTCTTTTGTTCAGGCTCTGTCTGTTTTCAACTTTAGCAGGGTAGTCTGTTAGTGCTCGCCTTGTGCTTGAGCGATAGGCAGGTAGATGCTCAGTTTGTTTTTCTGCATTGTCTCTTCATGTATGATTGCTTTGGTAGGACACTGGTTAACCTTTGAGTTAATAGAAGTTATGGAAGCCTCTTTTCCTTAGAAGAGGTGCTGCCCAAATTTGTGCTAAATACTCAAAGTTAGTCAAGTTTCAGAGATGTCAGCTAGTATAGGATACAATTTAGTCTTTGGACACAGTAGGAATTTTGGAGTTTTCCTTTCAAGAGGAAGTGTTGCCGAATTTTTTATTGAAACCAAAAAGTTAGTTTGTTTTCATATATTTTCAGAGTCCCAAGTTTTTCTTTTGAGATTTGGTATAGTAAATATTATTCGAGCACACTTCCCTGAAGGAAGTGTTGCCAAAATTTTCGGCATTTTCACATCATTACCAGACGCTACAGCTAAGTAGCTTAGAATGCGATACGGAGATGAACTTCGTTAACTCGACAGACGATGTCTGCCTTGATCTTTGTGACGCAAGTCATTGCTACCTGCGAGTGTTCTTCAAAGTCTTGAGCTTCATCAACTTCTGCTATCAGATTGATAGCAGGTCAGTTTGCTACTAAAATCCTACCCACCGTGATACCCACGCGCAGATGTTTGTGACCTCGTAGGCGAAAGGCATTTTCGTGCGAATAAAGTTCCTATTTTTTGAACCTCTCTTGAATGACCATGCCAAAGTTGTGTGAATCGGGACGGGCGGGTATGCCTTTGTTGAGTGGGAGTCGGAAAGGGGCGTGTGGGACATGAACCTAAGAGAAAAAGGGGTTGACCACATTTTGTAGCATCTGTGTGTGAATTTTCATTGGGTTTCATGTGTGTGCAGGTATGTATGGGAGCGAGGGCTCGCTGCTGGATTGAGAGTGATATGGATGAATGAGTGCAGGGTGTGAGTGACAAGGTTCAACTATGGCTGTGATAATGGATCCCCCTTATTTCCTCCGAGACTCACCCTTTTCTTTTCCTTGTTTTTCTCATGCCGCACGCATCTAGCGAACAGGCAGGAGTAGTCGAGCGCAAAGTTTTGTGCTCGACCTTCGATCGGATTGGGATTTGGTTTGGGTATGACGAATTGCTCGTCAACCCATGACTATTCTTATTTGGTTTCCTCGGGGGAAGGAGGAGCGAATCCCGTTCAAAAGGGGTTTTGATTTTTTAGATTATTAGTCGGACATTGGTCTTGAGCGCGGAATTCGAGGTCCTTGTCGAGGACATCCCAGACTCTAGTCCAACATAAAAGGGTTTCCCCCTTGAGCCGGACCTACGCCTCTTGCTTATCGTCACCCACTGCCTAAAAGACAGGGGCGTTGCAAGGGCTTTACGGCTTATCCTTCAGCCGTGCAATATCGTGAAGGAGGAACTTTTCACAATAGTTCGCTTTCGATACTTGAGTGTCCTATGCAACACCGAAACCTATGAGAGGTTGTGCGGATGTGGGTAACGCATGAAGCATCGTCATGACAACAGATCAAGTGAGTACACATGACTGAGCGTTGTGGTTCCCTTAGCGCCTACATTCTTTTTATGCAACTTTGTGCGGGTCTCGCTCAGACACAAAGGTTTTTCTGAGTTATGGGTCAGGACGTATGAAAAAGGGACTAGGCTTATTTTGTTTGTTTGAGTTAGTTTGTTTTGTTGCGTATCACATGGTTGAGTTAGGATGTCCTAGTCGACCGACGCTGAATTGCACGTGGGAGATCAGCGCCCTAGCGTGACGGTTTGCGTACGGGTCCGAGCTAGGCGTGGACCACACGTACCCCCTATGCTACAGCATACGAGAAACGCCCTCGGCTGGGCTACCTCCGCGATTGCAAGTAAAAGCTTCCTTGTGTTCAGTAGCTCGACGGGGATACGCCCACCCAAGCGATGGTGACAACTTCCACGGGTGGAGGTAAGTTGTACCTCGTCAGACCCTGTCCTGTCGTCGGGACTCGATGGAGGTATAATGAGCGCACTCGGCCGGAGCGGCTATGCCGCTTCCCTTTTTCGTGAAGCGACTTGCGAATTCTGCCAATCCTGCGTGACGCGGCCAGGAAGGTCCCCCTAGCGGGGACCGTGCGCTCGACAATGCTTAAAAAAAAAAACGGTCCCCAAAATCACACAGGGACCCAATCTGCCTCAACAGTTATCTCATCGGGCAGTTGGGTTTCTCAAAATAACAGCCACGTGAGCGAGGGTGGTGGCACAAAACGACAACCATGCGAGACCGTGGGCGGGAGCACAAAATGACAGCCACGCAAGAGCGCCACGTCCACACAAAACGACGGTCGCGCGATGAAAAGGAAACGGCGCGCCAAAACTAAACACGAGAAAAAAAAAAAAACAAAAAAAAAACGACACGCGAGGGGGAAAAAAAAAAAGAACAGCACGTGAGAAAAGAAAACAAAAAAAAAAGAAAAACCGCCCTTGTATCAGATGACTCACCTCCAAGATGTTCATCCTTATCAACGCTTGTCATGTGCCTCACACCCGGGGCGCGCACGCACGCTGAGTGGCGTGCTGTGAACATTTCGGTACGTGCCCCCCGCCCTCGATCGCCTTCATCTACCGCCCCTCACCAAAACTTCGACCCAGATCCGGCGCGCAGCGCGTCATGGACTTCCCCCTGCAGCCAATGCTGCTTTAGGGATAGGATTAATATTATTTAGGGGCAACTTCACAAGAGTCACAAAAACGAGTTATAATTGCACTATGGGGCAGGATACAGTTTAATTGCACTTTGGGCACCCTACCTAGCCAGAAAGCTGGGTTGTATACATTGCCCGAACTCCAATTCGAAACTGTATCTTGGTCCATAGTGCAATTATAACTCATTTATGTGACTCCCGCGTAGTTTCCCCTATTATTTATTGTTTGAATAAGAGAGGAGGAGATGAGGAGGAGGAGTTGGTTGGCGAGAAGAAGGGTCAATTATCATTTCTCTTTGTTGGTGTACATCTTCTTCTTTTTCCTCTTTCCCTCTCTCTCGTCTCAAGTTCATTCATTTCTTTTGCAATTGGACGGCATTGTACTTTCTCGTTAATTTTGCACTTCGGATTTGGTCAGGATCAGGGGCGCAGCGCGACCGGGAGCGTTGCGCCCCGTTCACGTAGACGGACCAAGTGATGTCAGGCGACAACAGTGAGGGGAGGGAGGGTGCAGTGCGGCGGCGCACTGCAATATTGGGGGAGGGAGGTGAGGAGGGTGAGTGGCTTCGGGTTTACGGAGGACGACGAGAAACATGGTGACGAGGATGCATCGTGGTGGCGCCACATGAGGAGAGGTTGGCGATGGCACATGAGGGCTCATGGCTGGTAGCTTAGTTTCCTCCGCTCTCCTTCATCTACATTGCGTGTGGTGGCAGGCAGGGTTCTGTTGAGGGCTTGAATCTCCTGTGGTAACTCGTCGACGGGCTCGACTAGGCGTTACTACACCATCTAGTACCTTGTAGAGTTGTGGATGGTCGTTGATACCTTTGTAGCTGGCGTCGACACTGTGGTCGGCAGCTGAAGCTGTTTTAGCCGGCAGATGGAGGGTGGCTTGACGTTTCCCTCCCGAAGGTGGTGGAGGTTGGTTCGAGTGATGGTAGGTGGATGAAAGAGAGGCAGAGGGAGTTTTTTCGAAGGACTCTTCACGGAGAATAACGCTTCAAGGACGAAGGAGGACATCGCCATCTCATGTGAAGCTTGCTGCGGGTGAAGAAGGTTGCGCATCAACATGATCTCAGGGTTTCGTTTTCAATAGTTTTTCTGATTGGTTGACTTTGTATTGCCTGTTTGCCCTCTCTCTCTTGATTCTTAAAGTTCGCATGTCGTAATCCTTGATGCTCACAAAATGATGATGATCTAATTAGTTTTTTTTCATTTTGTCTTGTCTATTCTGAATTTCTGATTCGATTGTTGTAGGTGTATCACTCGTTTGTTTTTTCTATGTTGTAATTATGGATATTCCTTCTAATGATCATGATCTGATTTAGTTTTCTGTTGGTGGTTCCTTCTGATAATATGGTTTCTTGAAAATAATTTCTTAAACTTTCTCGTGTCATACATCTTTGCTAAACGTTTCTCAAACCGTGGTTTGGGAATCTGATTCGAAAATCCTTTATGGATATCTCAACCTAAATTTCGTATAATTTCTCGTAAATCTTGTCACTCATTAGTTTTCCTTATCATTGATCTTATGGTCTTGTTTTTTTCTTGATTTCTGATACAAACTCGTTCTGATCTCCGATGCCTAAAAGTAGGCTTCTACAGTATTTTTTCAAAAACCTTATGGTTGCTAATCATAACACCATGCAGTAAATTTTGATTCGGATTGGCTTTATCTGTTTGCTAATCTCAATTTTCTGGTCTTGAGGGGTGTAATTGTGGCTTGCTGTGTATATCTGTGGGGTCTTCCTTGAGGGTTGGAGCCTCCCCCCATGAGGGTTTCACAAGGTGGGAGGTGTTATTCTTGGAGGGGGGAGGCGGTATTGGGGGATTGTTGTCTCTTAGCCAGACTGATTTAGGGTCAGATCAGTACTGGCGGGTGGGGAGAGAAGGCAAGGGGGTGGCTGCTTATAGCAGTGTGTTAGGATTTTGTTTTTTGAGGGAAGGAGTGACTTCGATGGGTACACGGTGAGCCGAAGAGGGGGGGAAGCTAGATTTGAAGGAAGGAAGGTAGCAAGGGGATTTTCAACAGAAAGGGTTGTTTGTTAGGGTAAGTAGCTTAGAAGGACGATGCTGGGATGACACAGGCCAGTGCTGGAGCCTCTGCTCTGTAACCCAGGGGGAGCTTGAGGCCTGGGAAGTTATGTCGAGGGTGTAAGGCATAACCAGATCGTCCGACGTAGTTGGCGTCGGGGTATTGACCCTGTAACCTGCTTAGGGGCTCGCCGCTAAGGGAATTGTCGAGGGAGGAAGGCACTTCTTGTCCATCAGAGCAAGGTTGATCGGTACTGGGGAGGGTTGTGGTGCCCTGTTACCCTAGCAGAAGGGGGTATGAGATCAAGTGAGTTCTGGTACAAGGACTGAAAACCTGGACCGACGCCCCATCTGTTGGAAGGGGAAATCTAGGATAGTAGGCAGATTTAGTCTTGCCCCCCCCACTCTTATATTTTTCTAAAGTTTTTCGAATGTCCCAAAAAGAGTTGGGTGCTTAGTGGTCCTAGGAATGTTTTTTAGGACTCTGGGATCCCTACTAACTCGTCTTAGGTGGCTTCAATGCTGTTATACTCAGTGATCTGCGGTTGTTCGATGCCAGAACGACGCTGACCGGTGCTGGGGTGTTGCCCTGTAACGATGCAGGAGTGTGAGGTCTGGTAGAGAGATCTGGGGATGTCTTGGGGTGGGCTTTCCACGGGACAACCAAGGGTTGCTGCTGGGACGACACTGGTCGGAGCTGGGGTGAGTCGCGTTGCCCTGTAACCCAACAGAAAGTGGGGGTGTGAGACCTAGAAGAGATCGGCAGGGAGTACGACAGTTTTGGAGAACGTTGGAAGGGTTTGTGTGGGATTTTGAGTTTTTTGGAACAATCGTAGGACCTTTGTAGCCTATTCTCAGGCTTCTGGAACGACGGTAAGAGTTCTTAGGTACCTCAAAAAGAAAATAAGGTGAGTGGGAGAAGATGGTGGGTTATCACGCGTCCTAACCAGTGAGGGGGCTAGCTGGTAGGATGGGAGTATGGCATAGCAGCAGCAGAGATGGTGGCTCCGATGCAGTCAGTCTTGCCGGAGTGAGGTAAAGTGGATTGATGGGGGGTTTTCTGAGTCGTTTCTGAATTTTGCTTAATCATGAAGTTGTCATAGACATGTCTGAAGTAGCTCCAATTTCTTCGAGCCAAAGCAGGGTAATGGCCCTGGTATCTCAATTTCCAAAATTCCATCCTTAGGCCAATTAGATTTTTCTAGTAGTTCCTTGTCTCATTTTCATGAATTTTCTGATGAAGTTTTCTGAACGTACTCGTTATGGGACGCTGGGCCCGGTTCCCAGTTTGTGCCAATTTGTGAGGATATGGTTGTATCTATGGGACGCTGGGCCCGATTTCCAGCAGGTGCTGCTCCCACCAATAGATGGAGCTTGTTTCAAAAAAAAAAAAAAGAAAAAGAATCATGACAAGTGTCTCTTTCTTGCCTTTTTCAGATTGGGCTGGTGAAGAGAACTCGACGTAAAGCAAGTGTTGTGGCAACGTGCCAAGTGGAGGTGCTGATACTTAACAAGTGGGATTTCAAGCACCGACTGGACGCTGACGTCGTCGCGAAAATCACAGAGAACATACATGTGAGTGAAAATTTAAAAACTTAGTATTTACCAGGGGAACTCTGATCACTTTCAATGCGAGTGAATATTTGTTTTGGGTTAATTTTTTCTTCCCCCTTTTTTTTTTTTTTTAAGGGTGACAGCGTTGAGATATCACCATTGAATTGGCCGGCCCCAAGTAATTCAGAATTATTTTTTTATGTTCTTCTGGTTGCATGTGGGCTCTAACGTAGGTGTGTACTTGAGCAGTTCATGGGTGTGCCAACTGGGCTAGGCCTCAGGGACGTACATTAAAAAGGGAATGATACAGAGAAAGTTAGCATGGCCCATGCGCAAGACGGCATGCATAAGAGGGCTTTACAATTGCAATCGTACAAGTAGCAATGAGGGACCGCCAACTTGAACATTGCAAATGCTCAGTTGGTTGAGTGGTTTCATCCTCCATCCACATCTCTGCCTGCATTGTACACTGACCTGGCCATTACATGACCATTGTACATGCATCTGACCACTGGGAGCTGTGGGACAACGGCAGCATGGCGCATGCCATGACTGATGTTACTGATTTCTTACATAACGATGCTGTTATCTTGCCGCACCAAACCATCCGCACACTCTTTTAAGCTGAAAAGATCATTTATGTGCCCCTGTGTCCCAGCAGGACAATGTATCAACATTCCACAACCTTCTCCTTTGCACAGCTACGAACACTGTTACGCTCGGCTGCAGCCATCATCGTCTCTGTCTCAATCACTACAATGACATGGTTTCTGCATCCATGTGTGCAGAGGACTGTCCCTCCTTTCCTGACTGCAGATACCCTCCGCGTCCGGACAAGCTGTGTCCACTTTGTGGCCATGGGCGTTATACTGAATGCATGGCCTTTTGCAGTGCCCGTTCTTCCTTCATGTTGGCCTGCAATCAACATGCCCTTTGTCTGGAGTGTTTGGTGGGCATGCCATCGTGGCAATTGTTGTACTGAGAATGCTCAGCTAGGTCTTCTGTGTCCTCATCCATCTCATCCTTACAATGTATGTCCTCGCTGTCGTCAAGGACAGACTGATTCCTAATCCTTCTCTTCTCCTTCCTATGCTTTCATCGTCGTTTCACAGTCCCTACTTTCCCTTAATTTCCCTTAGTTTTCCTTTGCTTTGTCGTCATCTTTTCTCTCAGTTTATCCCCTTTCCTTTACTCTGCCTCCTTTTCACAGCGTACAAGTGGGCCGTCATGGCACACGCGGATGCGGGCAGCTCGCAGTCAACTTCATCAATGTGGCGAGCATTGCACATGAGAGACACAGTGAATAATCAAAGAGGCAACTGTCAGGAAAGAAAAGAAAGAGCCGCATAGGAAGATGCAAGAGGGTATTGGCAAAAAATGAGCTTGGCTCGGTGTTGGCCGGTAGTTGTTGACGCCGGCCTCGAGAGGCAGTGGTTCGTGAGGGTATTGGCAAAANGAGGGTATTGGCAAAAAATGAGCTTGGCTCGGTGTTGGCCGGTAGTTGTTGACGCCGGCCTCGAGAGGCAGTGGTTCGTGAGGGTATTGGCAAAAAATGAGCTTGGCTCGGTGTTGGCCGGTAGTTGTTGACGCCGGCCTCGAGAGGCAGTGGTTCGTGCGGCACGCACCTTGTACGGGAAGTGGGAGAGCAGCGAGCCCAATGTGCGGGAAAGTGGGAGAGCTTTCCCCCCCACCGAAAAAAAAAAAAAAAAAAAAAAAAGTGGGAGAGCAGCGAGCCCGCTGTGCGGGAAAGGCTAACGGGAAAGTGGGAGAGCGGCCAGCCCGGTGCGGCACACGCACACGCACACGCACACGCACACGCACACGCACGAACACACACACACACACACACACAGAGAGAGAGAGAGAGAGAGAGAGAGAGAGAGAGA